TCGTTTTTATGACACTTCACTTAACCCATACATTCATCCTTGTCAGCTTGAAATTATTCCACATGTGTTACCTTGATGCTTTCAATAACTCAGTAAGTGAAGTTGTGTATACACATGCATACACAGACACCCACATACATGCACATATGTGCACACAGGATATTAAAGATTTGGCAGGTCAAACCTGTTATACCCAACGGCACTCACTTTGAACAACTCTGATCCTGTGACCTCTATATTTTGTTCTTACTTGAAAATGGCCATTGGTTCCTATCAATTGTCATCAATATCTGATCCTAGTATTGTATACAAGCTCATGCCTACGTAATAATCGCCCCATTTACCAGACCTAGTTAATGTGGCAGTCCCTTTGAACACATAATGTTTAATTCTCATGGCCATTCTGCAAGGTGTATGTTATCCACATGCTACAGATGAGAGAACTGAGGTTCATAGAAGCAGTGTCTGCGCCACGGTGGACTCTGCCTCAAAGCCACTACTGGCCTCTTAGTTTATAGCCGAAGGAACCGCTGAGCTAAAGCCAACCCGGCTACTGGCCTCTTAGTTTAAAAAAACCTAATGTGAAACTGAACCTTTAGAAGGTTAAATAATCTCTATTTTTCCTGATATACCACTCCTACCCCATTAATCAAGGATCTGGGTCTTGGTTCTGCCCTGAGAAGGTGGGCTGTTCTCTGGTTAGTAAGACAGAAGTGGGAGGAAGTGGATATAGAATGTTCAAAGAGCGATGCCCGTGTCTGGGGTGAAACTCGGGGTTCTGGCTTCTTCTCCCAGCACTTAGCCTCACAGACTTCCTCAAGCAGTCACGGAAGAAAACCCAGGGAGGACACTTGTTGCCATGTCTGAAAGGCCTAAACAGATGCTGGCTGCCCCGAACTCCTGCGGACGGTCAGCAGGGCTTGCCAGTAGCGGGGACTGGCACTCAGCGGGCAGACAGGCCATTAACAGCCAGCTCCCGTCTGACAGATGTTTGATACCATGAAACTGTATAAGCATTTTTTGAAAATTACAGATCTATTCACAATAAGAACTGAGGATCTTTTCCTTTAGTGTCTGATGCAGTAGCTGATCCCTTCCCCCATTTCCTTCAGCTACTACTGTCCATACCGTGTGGGGTTTGGGAGGGTGGTGTGAAAGGGGTGCCAGGTGCCAGGTGAGTCACGAGTGGAGAGCTTGTGTAGGTGAGCGAAAGCGTCTGAGCCACTGCGTCCTCTTGTTGGCATTCCCCTGAGCGGCAGGAAGCAAAGGGGTTGTCCCGCTCACCCACAGGGTAGGACAGCCCAGCTGTCATCCAGCCCAGAACATGATGAAGGGCTGGCATTCACAGGAAGTAGCTGGGATAAGGCAAGGACTGTCTCAGGACAGACTGTCCCTGCACCCAGCAACTTGTTGGCACTCCATGCTACCAAGAGGGCATATTCTTTTTTGGAAAAAATATTTTTATTGATTTCAGAGAGGAAGGAAGAGGGAGAGAGAGAAAGAGGGAGAGAGAGGGAGAGAGAGAGAGAGAGAGAGAGAGAGAGAGAGAGAGAGAGAAACATCAATGATGAGAATCATTGACAGTTGCTTCCTGCATGTTCCCATCCGGGGATCAAGCCCACAAACCGGCCAGTACCCTGCCCAGGAATTGACCTGTGACCTCCTGGTTCATAGGTCAGCGCTCAACCACTGAGCCATGCATGAGGGCATATTCTTTATTATTATTATTATTATTATTATTATTATTGCCTTTCTGTGAATTTATTGTGGTAGGTTTTTTTTAAAAAGGCCAAAACCGGTTTGGCTCAGTGGATAGGGCGTTGGCCTACGGACTGAAGGGTCCCGGGTTCGATTCCAGTCAAGGGCATGTACCTTGGTTGCGGGCACATCCCCAATAGAGGGTGTGCAACAGGCAGCTGATCGATGACTCTCTCTCATTGATGTTTATAACTCTCTATCCCTCTCTTCCTCTCTGTAAAAAATCAATAATATATATATATATATATATATATATATATAATTTTTTTTTAAAGGCATGCTTTTGGGCTAAGAGGAAGCCACATGCATTGTAGAAATGGGGAGACATAAAAGCTCAGAGGCAGCCGCCACTGTCAGCTCGAGGGCCACCACTTGTCTATGTCACAACCGGGGCTGATACAGATTCATCCTTTTCATGGCTGTGACCCACACCACCCACATGTCAGGAAACACACGAACCACACATACACCTCCTGTCCAGGAGTGGAATCGGTCGCACAGTCTGACCATTTGGTTTTTGCTCAAGAGTCTAAGACACTGGTTTCCAAAATGGGGGCGCCCCTGGTGGGCCAATGTGGAGTAGCAGCACCTGAGACCATGTGCTGTGGCTTCCTCTGAGAAGCACCCGCTTTTGGCGCCCCGCTTTTGGCGGGACAGTCCTGATTTTTTCTTTTTTAAAACGCCGCGGGACGCGGGACAAATTGTTAAAAATCGGGACGTGTGGTCACCTTATCTAAGAATCTGTGCTACAGGAGGTAGAGGGCCTTCTAAGGTGTTTAAGAAAACTGCCTTCCAACGGGCAGTGGATTTACAGGAAGCTCCAGACAGGGGTTGGAGGGCGCTGCTTAATGATGTATCTGAGAATTGTATTCGATCTGAGTAAAATCAGGTCAGCAAGGTCCCCTGCTTGTGCACTGAGTGTAGAAAGCAGGATGAGGGCATAGTCTTTTTAAAAAAATATATATTTTATTGATTTTTTTACAGAGAAGAAAGGAGAAGGATAGAGTTAGAAACATCGATCAGCTGCCTCCTGCACACCCGCTACCGGGGATGTGCCCGCAACCAAGGTACATGCCCTCGACTGGAATCTAACCTGGGACCCTTCAGTCCCCAGGCTGATGCTCTATCCACTGAGCCAAACCGGTCAGGGCAAGAGCATAGTCTTAATGTCTTTCTGAGAGTTCCCGTCCCAGACAGACGTGGTCCCCTGAGAGGCACAGACGCAGCATCAGCAGAGGGCAGTGAGATGAGCCTTATTCCTCGGCTTTTCTCGGTCTGAGACGGGAGGTGGGTTTTCCATATGATTGGAATCTGGGTGGCAGGTCTGGAGCCCTGGAGATGGCCCCGCCCCTTCGCCTGGGGATGCCCACGTGCTCCTGTGTAACATCAGCACCTGCAGCACTGCCTCGGCTCCTTTGTGTCCAGCTTTCTCCTTCCTTCAGCCCCCGGGGAATAAGTAGCTGCTCTCCTGCGGATATCAGCTAATCATCCTAGTGTGCTCTCCACCCCTTCACCTGGGTCCGTACCAGCCTCATGTCTGTTGGATGCTACTGACCCAGACCTGGTCTGGACAGCAAGTGTCTCGGGACTTGTCTCAGCAAAACACGACGTAGCGTTTCCCTTCCCGGGAGGAGAAGAATAAAGGAATGCCCACAGCCCTAACTGGTCTGGCTCAGTGGATAGAGTGTCGTCCTGCAGACTGAAGGGTCCCAGGTTCGATTCCGGTCAAGGGTATGTGACTTGGTTGCGGGCACATCCCCAGTGGGGAGTGTGCAGGAGGCAGCTGGTCGATGCTTCTCTCTCATCGATGTTTCTAACTTTCTATCCCTCTCCCTTTCTCTCTGGAAAAAGTCAATAATATATGTATATATTATTGACTATATATATATATATATATATATATATATATATATATATATATATAAAGGAATGCTGCAGTGTATGGTGTATTAAGGAGTGAGTTAGCAGCTGCTAACTGTGGTCTTCCTTTGGCGTTTCTGTAACTTACGTCATCGGGTATTGACTCCTTAGCTCTTTCTTCTTTCCTCTCTATCCCTTCACCTTCCCGCCTCTGCTTTGCTCTCTTTATTTCTCCCGCTGACCCCCCCCCCCACACCTTCTCTCCTCTCTCCCCTCCCCCCACACCCCTGCCATTGCCTGGCACTCACAGAGGGCTTTACAACTTGGCTCACCGCTCTGGGCTGGTAGCAGCCAAGCTCATTATTATTCTGGGTCCCAACCTGTTTGGCGAAGTCTCGCTGCTCCACTTCCCTAACCTTGCACTTAGGGCCCGGGCGCTCCCAAGCATTAGGGCCAGGGTGGGGACCGGGCTGAGAGCCATTTGCACAAACACAGGCCCTCGTAACCACTTTGTTCTCAGGGCGAATGCTTCCCCCTCCACCCCTCTTCAGTTCATCCTCGGGGTCACATTCAAAGGTCCCCAGTGTCTTATTTTTTATAGATGGAAATGCCCTGGAAATGTCAGGCTAGAGGCCAGGAGAGGATGTGCAGAGCAGAGGATCCTGTGCCCAGGCTGGCCTTTCGTTGGCTTCCTCCGGGCTGCCGCCTCCGGGGAGAGCGGAAAGGCTGTGGCCCTGGATGGGGAGCCCAGGCTCTGTGTGTGTATTTTGGGGTGTGTGTGTGGGGGGTCCTGTCTGGCTCAACACACTGTCTGGAGTCTGAGGGACAGGCAGCCCCTGCCCCGCCCGGGGGGAGGTATATTTGGGACAAGCATGGTAGCTCCCCCCGGGACATCCCTGCGCTCCGCCCTTAGTGGGATAATGATGGGACCACCCACGGGGTGTCAGCGCCAGCCCTGCGGCGTGCCTCAGTTTCCCCTCTGCACCACTTCTTGGGACGGGAAGGCGCCCAAGAACAGCTGAGACAGACGGGCGGTCACACAGCGCTGAGCAGCGCGGCTGTGACTTTCGGTTCCCGGTCGGGGGTGGGGAGGGGGGTTGAGTGGGGAGCGCAGGGCGGGCGCCGCCCCGGGAGCTCCGCGCGCCCCGGGGCCGCAGCCCCAGGCCGAGCAGGAGAAGCCCGGGCGCCCGCGGACCCGCCGCCGGAGGATGGGCCGCCGCTCTGCGCCCGGCCGATCCCCGGGGCGGTCCGGGGCCAGTGGGCGGGGGCTCGGGGCAGCGGCCGCGGGGCCGGGGCGGGCCGGCCGGCGGGGCATTTAAACCCGGCGGCGGCGGTCCGGGCCGCCCGCTTCGCCGCCGCCGACCTCGGGCCCGGCAGGCAGGATGCGGTCCTCCTTGGCTCCGGGCATCTGGCTCCTCCGCAGCTTCTCCAGGGACAGCTGGTGAGCAGCCGGGCGGGCGGGCGGGCGGGCGGCGCCGGGCCGGCTTCCCCTCCGCGGGCGGGGCCGGGGCCGGGGCCGGGGCCGGGGCCGGACCGGGCGGCCTCGCTGCGCTGGAGCGCGGCTCCTTCTGCGGCGCCGCAGGAAGGTGAACCTGAATGGCGTGCGCTGGGACGGACGGACGGACGGACGGACGGACACGGACACACACACACCCGGGGCGGACTGCAGGGCCCCTCACTTTCATGGCATTGGGCCCCAGGCCAGCCGGGGGACCGGGGATGGTGGAGTGGCTGGAAAGTGGCGATTGGAGTCGTGGAGTGTCCCTTTCGGTCCCCTTTCCCCTAGGATAACACACACACCACACGCCACACACACACACACACACACACACCACACCACACACACACACACACACACACCACACACACACACCATACCACACACCACACACACACACACACACACACACCACACCACACACACACACACACACACACACACACACACCACACACACACACCATACCACACACCACACACACACACACACACACACACACACCACACACACACACACGTACACGCACACGCACCACACACACACCACACACACACACACACCACACACACACACACACACACACACACACCACACACACACACACAGGGGCCAGAACTCACGGTCCCGGGAGCTTGCCTCTCAGACCAGGGCAGGCAGCCGCTCAGCTGGGTGGTCACCCCAACAGTGGGCAACCCCAGCCCTGAGGGAGCCACGTCCACAGCAGCTTTCCTCCTGAGCGAGGGAGCCCCCAGATGGCCATGTGTGTGTGTGTGTGTATGTGGTGTGCGTGTGTGTGTGGTGTGTGTGTGTGTGTGTGGTGTGTGTGTGTGGTGTGTGTGTGGTGTGTGTGTGGTGTGTGTGTGTGTGTGTGGTGTGTGTGTGTGGTGTGTGTGTGGTGTGTGTGTGTGTGGTGTGTGTGTTGTGTGAGTGTGTGTGTGTGTGTGTAGTGCACTCTTCACCAGAGGCCACACACAGGAGCAGTTTGTTTGGTCTGCAGTGTTTTGTGTTTTTATTTTTTTGTTTGTTTTTTTAAATATCGTTAGTTGCCATCATTGACAAATTATAAAATTTAACATAGCCAGATTCCTGGCTTCTCTTAAAAAAACAGATGAAGCAACACCGGGCCTGAACTCCCAAATTATATTATAGGACTCAAAGATTCCCCTTTAGATGGGGCACGTGTTCTGAGCATGACCAACTAGGTCTGGTTTTAAAACCTAAAATCCCACGTTCCTGACCCTTTGGTTCTTAGGCTGGTTGGTCACCCTAGGCTCTTTCCTATTGGTCACCCTACGGGCTTTCCTATTGGTCAGCCTAGGCGCTTTCCTATTAGTCTTTCCTATGGTGACAGCCCTCATTACTTCCAGCCTTCTCCACTGGTGTATATGACTCATTTGGTGCTTTTTGAGCTTGGAACTATTAAAATAGATTTTTTTTTTCCAGAAAAAGAGAAAACCTGCGTCTCCTAAGGATGTAAAAACGAACAAGTGTTAAAGATGTTATTTTACTCATAACGAGGGAATCGGAAGATGTTATAATCTAGGAAACATAAATTGTAGGGAGGGGTTAATGGGGAGTTACGGTTTAATGGGGACAGATCTTCAGTTTGGGAAGATGCAAAGGTCCTGGGAATGGATGGTGGTGATGGTTGCACCACAATATGAAGGGGGTTAATCCCACTGAACTGTACCCTTAACAAGGATTAAAGTGGACCCTGGCCAGTGTGGTTCATAGGTTGGAACATCCGTGTCAGCCCACACACTAGAGGGTAGAGGGTCGATTCCAGGCCAAGGGGTTGATTCCTGGTCAAGGGCACCAACCTGTGTTGCAGATTCCATCTCTGGCCCTGGTTGGAGCACGTGCAGCAGACAACCTATCTATATGTCTCTCTCACATCAATGTTTCTCTCTCTCTCCCTCCCTTCCACTCTAAAAAAAAATGTCATTGGAAAAAAATATCCTCAGATGAGGATTAACAACAACAAAAATGGTTATAACAGTAAATTTTACGTTATATATATTTTACCACAATTTTAAAAAGAGAGACTCCAAAGAACATGCCCATTTATAAATCAGGAATATTGAGGCAAAACTGGTATTTCCACAGGTTGGGAGGGAAGACTGTTGAAACTACCAGTTCACAGACATATTTCCTATGACTCAGTTTCCCACCTGCTTGAAGCACTGTAAACAGCCTGTGGTCAATGAGAGGCGCAATCAGATAAGCCAGAGGGGAGTCCTCTGCAGCTTTCCAGTGAAATCACAGAGGTTTCTTATAGCTTCCCCTGCACTGATAACACACAGTCACAAAGAAAGACCAGGCTTGCTCATAAGATAAGGTTTGTCTCCTTGGATTTGATCTGATGATGTAAGTGTAGCAAGTGGGCTATTTTGAAATATCGGCCTTGGGAAGTTTGCTTTGCTGGATTTTTTTTTTTTTTTTTTTAATAAGGAATCTTAGATTGGACTTGGAAACGCTTGTTATTGGTGACGGTTCTGAAATTAGGAAGCCAAGAAACGCCGCTCGGTTTTACCTGCTGTACCTGTACCTGTGGGCAAATTCCTCCTTTCCCAGGTCCCCAGAACTCCCTCAGGCTCCTGGGCTGGCCAGGGAGTGACCTCCCTCATTTGCATATAAGGGAAAACATAAGCCAATTTTCTTGGGAGGGTTTTATTAGTCTTGGCTCTGTACCGTCAACCTTGGTTCCTTAAAAAGGGCTGAGCATGTCTAATTAATTGAGCATCATTGTTAATTACGACATACCAGGGAAGGCCTTGGTTGCATCACCAATTTTTCTAACTATGCCCTGCTTTAAAAAAAAAAAATAGGACAGATGCTTATTAAACTTTTGAAAATAACCATCTTGCTATGAAAAGTGAGAAGACTCAACAATCGTTTTTGCATTCTGGGGAAGCAGGTAGGGAGGATAAGATATTCACAAATGTTTCACTTCGGTTTACTAAAACAGAGGCTACTAAATTGTTATGGGCTACATACAGCTTAAACAAGAGAGCCCTAGCCAGTTTGGCTCAGTGGATAGAGTGTCAGCCTGTGGACTGAAGGATCGGGGGTTCGATTCCGGTCAAGGGCATGTACCTTGGTTTCGGGCACATCCCCAGTGGGGGGTGTGCAGGAAGCAGCTGATCGATGTTTTTCTCTCATCGATGTTTCTGGCTATCTGTTCCTCTCCCTTCCTCTCTGTGAAAAATCAATAAAATATATTAAAAAAAAAAAAAAAAAAAGAGAGAGAGAGAGAAAGGGCTGCCTTATAGATCCAGAAAGCTGAACCCCAGAACAACATCAACAACATTCCAATCACAAACCACAAGCATCCCTCGCCAGTTGATTCACTCCTGTGTGGTTGCTCCTTGTTCTCGATCTCACAGACCTGTCTGCTTCTTGGCTAAAGCGCTGTGAAAATTCCTGACTTAGTCCATCGGTATGCCCTATGTCCATCTGGTGTCTAAGCGTGCCATCAGAAGCATGTGTCCAAAAGCAGGTGACCAGTACAGCACTTTTCCGAGCCGGTTCTTGGTTGTTAAAGATGAGACCTTTGACCTATATTGCAGAGCCTTTAGGAAGCACCGAGTAAAACAAAACAAAACAAAACAGAAGCCCCTTGCAAATGACAGAGATCTAAAAAAGAGCAGATGAACGTACTACGGATAATTTTCAAAAGTGAATGATCTGATGAGCTAACCAGGACTGCTTCATTGTTGTTCCTGAAGTGTGCAAAACAAAACAAAGCCACTCCTCTCCCCCAATCTAGACAGGAACATCTGATTTATAAAAAATAGATGGACACAATTTTTATAGAGGAAAACATCTTGAGACATAATTTGCATAATGTACCAAGGATATTCCAAGAATATCAGCTAAAGAGACTTAGTTCGTGAGCCTGGAGTGAATCCTAAACATCTGTATTTAATAAAACTCCATGGGAAAGTCTGATGTACCTGCCCTGGTGAAAACCACGGACCTGGGAGATGTTAGACTCAAAGAAGTGAGGCTGCAGCCCAGAGAACGAACATTTTAAAACCCAACCCAAATCATGGCTGATAGCACCATATACTGTTACTATCAGGTAACGTATCAGCAAGATGCTGATCCCTCGAAACAAACTGTGGACCAGAGAGGACACTAAGAAATCTGTAGGAACCTCTCACACAGCCTGCAATTTCTGAAATATTTATATCAACAACGTTTTCCTTTTAAAATGTAACTTAGAGAAGGCTGAGCATTTTTCTGGTTTCACAGTTATTTCCGTGCGATGGCTCAACAATAACATATGAAGTACACCTGCTGCGTTCTAGCCCCTCTCCTTTTAAAAGGAGAAAGAACTGATCTTTGTGGTTTCTCCAGAAGTCCCCCTAGGGCCGTGGTTGGCAAACTGCGGCTCACAAGCCACCTGCGGCTCTTTGGCCCCTTGAGTGTGGCTCTTCCACAAAATACCACGGCCTGGGCGAGTCTGTTTGGAAGAAGTGGCGTTAGAAGAAGTTTAAGTTTAAAAAATCTGGCTTTGTTGACTAATGAGTTTGCCGACCACTGCCTCAGGGCATCTCAAAGAGAGTTTTAGGTACAAAAGCGATCCTGAATGCTTATTTAATTTGTGTTTGTTTAGGATTTGGTTGGGGGAAGACAAAAGTGATTAGGAGGCTGGTTCGCTTTTCACTAGAGCTAAGAAACAGCCCATACCCTATGCATTTGAAAGTGATAACATTGCCGGAAGCCGGTTTGGCTCAGTGGTAGAGCGTCGGTCTGCGGACTGAAAGGTCCCAGGTTCGATTCCGGTCAAGGGCATGTATGTTGGTTGCGGGCACATCCCTGGTAGGGGATGTGCAAGAGGCAGTTGGTCGATGTTTCTCTCTCATCAATGTTTCTAACTCTCTATCCCTCTCCCTTCCTCTCTATAGAAAAATCAATAAAATATAATATATTTT